AAATGAGTATTTAAAATTCTAGCCCAGTCTACTCTTAATTTCTGGATCCGTCCCTGGAGCCAACTGTTGGCTTCATAGCAAAACCGAGAAAAACCAATAACATGAGTTACACAGAGAAAGAAGCTGACTCTTTCAGTTCTGAGTTATTGAACAGTTCTAATTTTTTAATCATATATGCTTGATTACATGTATACGGCTTTGTACTTACTAACCATGTATTTCTTACACGACAAAACAAACGGAATACAACAAAAACAGCCAACAAAATACATACAAAAACTTGTGTAATCATATAATTTTTTTGCATTTTTTTTTTTAAAAAAAATCTTTTCTTGAGAGGGGGTGTAATAGTCACAAGAAGGAAAATAATTTTATGTAGCCCCCCACAAAGTGTCCTTCTCTTCATGTGGGTTTGTAGTTGCAACTAATGCACCCAACATTGTAATTAGGTTTTTGATTTTGGGAGATACTATAGTCCCGTGACGGAATTATTCTGTCGGGGTTTGTAACTGTTATATCAACTATCTCCGTCTGTTACATGATTATCTAACAGTTACAAACACGACAGAATGATTCTATAATAGGACCGTAATTAAATATGTCTTTCATGTTGTTCACAAAAAAAAAAAGGGAGTAACATACAATATATACATATATATAGCAATAAGAAAGCCCTTTTGCCCACTATTCACAAGCTAAATCAAGAAAAAAGCATTCAAATCAAGTGGAGTACTATACATAGACTCATAGAGGACATGCATGAGACTCCAACAAAATAATTAAGCTGTCCAAGGGAGTAACATACAAGCCAATTGAAGTAATTGAAGCCTCTAAAGGGAGTAACATACAAGCCATTGAAAGTAAAAAAATTTGTATAAAGCCTACATCACTCTAAGACCGATCGATCCTAAGAAGATCGTTGCTCTCGCTTTTGGCATAGTGGGCCCCAGTGGGGGCTCGCGTTATTAGCTCAGTGGTAGAGCGTGCCCCTAGCTATAACACTACAAAAAAATAGGATTCTAGTGAAGAATTTTTTTGTCACTAGATCTATAATTGTTGTCACTATATATGTTGTCACCATATCTACAATTGTTGTAGATATAGTGACAACAATTGTAGATATAGTGACAGTAGATATAGTGACAACATAGTGACAAAAAAATTCTTCACTATAACTCTATTTTCTTGTAGTGTAATAAAAATAAGTTAATTTTTATATATACATGAGTGTACATAATTCAAAAATAAAAAATAATAACTACATAAAG